GCAACACTTGCTTAAATAGCGACTTGCCCACCACGGGTCGCCTGCAGAAACACTGGAAAGGCTCCTGTCCCCGCCCCACCCACGCTCCAAAATCCGCCTCAGCGCCGGGTTCCCTGCGTTTACTGCGGTCTCCTGCCGCCCCCTGCTGGCCTTCTCGCGTTGGTTTACCGAGGGCGGCCGCGAGGCCACTGGGGCGCGCAAGGCAGTGACGTCACATCGCCGCGCGCCCCGTGACCGGAAGTTAGTCGTCTATTTCCGCCCCTGCTTCCGCTCTACTCCAGAGGCGGAAGTAAAGCTCTCGCCAGTACGTAGGTACGGTCCAAGTTGCAGTTGCTGGCTCGCTGCTGTGGTGTGTTTTATTTTTGGAAGCGTGTTTGGGAGCCCCCTTCCTGGCCGCTCCTTGCACAGTTGGCCTTGTGGGGGAGGAGGGGTGGGAGAAGGCCATGCAGGGGAACCTGCTGGATTCACCTTGGTTTTGAGTTTCAGGCCCAGCCGGGTTGGAACCTTACGCTTCATCTGAGAGAACTCCGCGCTTTATACTTGTAGGGACAGTGCCTACCTTTTAATTTGGGGGGGTTAATTAAGACAACGTGTTTGAAGCACTTAGTTTTTGGTTTTACAAATCCTTGGTCAGTCCGCTACCTTTTCCGACCATCTTCGGGCGTGTGCTTGCCCTTTGCTCCTCAGTATCTCCCAGAGATGTTGCGTTTGCCAGAGGTTGTGCAGGTCACGAGAACATTATGCAGTGTTAGCTGGGATTGATCTTTTTATTCTGTATTACGACTTCTGACAGTATTCCCCCCCCCCCCCTTTTTGCCATTTCTAGGGGCAACTCTTTTCCAGCTTTTTCTGGACGAATGCAAAAATTCTCTTAACACAAATGAGGTGAGAAATGTCTTGTAAAGGTTTCTAAACCGCTTGTTTTGTAAAAAGAAGGCCAACTGGAATGTAGTACCCTAGGGCCAGTGATGAGCCATTTCATGAAAAGCCCCTTTATTAGGCTACTTGTGGAGCAGAGGGCACTGTAAATCCTCATTTATTCCTCAGCCTGGACAAGTTACAGGTACACATATTTTTAGTGTATTTGTTGATTTTGCATTTCAGCATCTGCAGTAATGGCTTTATTTATTTATTTTTTATCCTCACCTGAGGACATTTTTCGATATTTTGTTCAGATAGAGTGGGAGGGAGAGAGAGAGAGAAACATCGATGTGAAAGGGACACACCGAGTGGCTGCCACCCGCACAACCAACCAGGGCCGGGGACAAACTGCAACCGAGGTACATGCCCTTAGCGGGAACCGAACCCGGGTCTGTCTGGACCGCAGGCCGACGCTCTAACCACTGAGTCAAACCGGCCAGGGCAACAATATTGGTTTTAGGTAATTAAACATGTTAATTTGAGATCGAAATACATTATGGAGTATTAATTATTTTTGGAACTTGTAGATTGAGGCAGTTGATACTTTTTGCATTAAGCTGTTTAAATATATGTTTACTTTGCTAGATGTAATGGGAGTATTTTGGGTGGAGATTGGGTGCCAAAAGAGTAAAATATCATTACATTTAACAGGTTTAACATTTTTGTGTTGAAAACTGATTAATAGGTAAAGGTAATATATATGTATGTGTGTGTGTGTATATATATGTGTATATATATATATTCTGTTATGTATTTGCACTCCAAGATCATTTAAATTTTTTAATTTCTTGTCTGATTGAAATAAACATAAATATCATATTTCATAACTAGTACATAGCTGCCATTAATCTGTCAGAGACAACTATTTTGTTTTATTATCTATCTATCTACCTACCTACCTACCTATTTATTATCCTGGCCGTAACCGTTATGCAGTTTGCTGCTTACAATATCTTCTTAGACATCTTTCTATTGTGTTAGACCTGTCTCATTTTTTATTTTTTATTTATTTATTTATTTTATCCTCACCCGAGGACATTTTTCCATTTTTTTTTTTTTTTTGTTCAGATAGAGTAGGAGGGAGAGAGAGAGAGAAACATCAACGTGAAAGGGACACATCGAGTGGCTGCCACCCGCACAACCCATCCAGGGCTGGGGACAAACTGCAACCGAGGTACATGCCCTTAGTGGGAACCAAACCTGGGACTCTCCGGACTGCAGGCCAACGCTCTCACCGTTGAGCCAAACCGGCCAGGGCAGACCTGTCTTGTTTTTTAAAAGTAGGCTATATAGTATATTATATTGCATACTTGTACCACAATTTATTAATCATTCTGTTGGTGACCATTGGGTTCCTTCTTTTTTGCTTCAGAAAATACTATTATAATGGTCATCCTTTTCATAACAAATGTGTGTCCTTTGGATAGTGTCTCAGAAGTGGAAATGTTGGGTTACAAGTTATGATGGAGGGTATCAAATTCTCTTCCACCAGTGGTATTTGAGAATTTCCCCCATTTCTTCATATGCTCACCAACAGTTGGTTAGTTAACATTATGTTTCGGCTTAGCTGAGACTGCTCATAGTATATTTTGGGTCGATTTATTGCATGTATAAGTATTGTAGTCAAAACCAAATTTTAGTTGCCAATTCTAAGTCCAATTGAGCTCTTTTTCCCCGCCATAGAAAGAGTAGTTTTAGATTCCCTAGTAATAAATTATTATAAAACAAATGACTCTAACAGTATGTTCTTGTTAAAGATTTGTAGTAAGAAGATACTGTTTGAATGGGACTTTGTACTATGGATAGGCATCAGGAGGATAGGCCTTTCTGAAAGGCATCTTTTTTGGTTGTTGTTAATCCTCACCCGGGGTTTTTTTTTCCATTGAGTTTTTAGACAGAGTGGAAGGGAGGGGGAAGTGGGAGAGAGAGAGAGATAGAGAGAAACATTGATGTGAGAGAGATACATCCATTGGTTGCCACCCGCCCTGACCGAGGTCGGGTATTGAACCTACAACCCTTTGGTGTGAGGGCTGACGCTCTAACCACTGAATTCTGCTGGCCAGGGCTGAAAGATGTCTTAAAGGCAGGGAGACAAGAATGGACGAGGGTGTTTAGGACCAGAGGTCTGAGAGGCAGTGGTGCCTAGTTGTGAGGTTTGTTACCTAGTTGTCACGTTATAGAATAGAAGCTAGTTAGAAGCTAGTTAGAACTGTGTGGTGAGGACTTTGAAGGTCAGTCTAAAGATTTTACTTTATAGAGGAGAGCTACAGAGATCTTTAGTCAGGGAATGAGGGACATAATTCTGTGTTTTACAAGTATATGATAATGGCACTCTTGAGTGACCGATGTTAGAGAAGCAAGTTAAACGGCTATTACAGTTTGGGTGAGGGAATATCAAAGACTAGAGTGTGGAGTTCAGAGATGCTGAACAAGCTGAATCTACATGATTTGATGACTGGGGTTGAGGAAGGGAAAGAAAGCAAAGCTTTTATGTTTTTATCATGAGTGATGAGGATAGTGATAGTGGTTTCATTAATTAGAGGAGGTCTGGTTTGTTTGGAGACTGGGAAAGATGCTCATTTTGGTTTTGGACATGTTAATTTGTGTGAAAGATATTTCCATGAAGAAATAAGTTATACACAAAGACATAAAATCCACCTATGACAGATTCAGGAGAAACTTTAATGCTCGTTTGTTAAGAAATTTGGCATGTATTTTCACTTGCTTTTAGTCTGTCATTAATAGAATTTTTTTGAACCTTCTGTGGCTTGTTCAGCCCTGTTTAAAGGTGTGTTGTCTAGAGTAATAGCCTTCATGCTTTTTTTGATTGTGTACACTCTCTGAGAAAGGTTTATGCAAGTATCTTCAACATGTTTATATTTATTTACTGATTAGTTACATACATGTCTTACAGTCCTATTATACTTTGTACATTTTAAGACATATAGGAAGTAGAAATGTTAAAAGACTGAGACAAATATAAATAGGACTTTTACTGTTTCTACCTACATTCCGTTGGATCATCTTGCCACCTACCCTCTGGAAAGCACTGGTCTCATCCATAGTTGTCTGTGTTCTGTCCAAATATCCAGTAGAGGTCACCCTTGAGTGTCTGGAAGGGAATAGATTGTTGAGCTGTGCAAGGTAAAGCCTTCATTCTTTAGTCAGAAGGAGGATCTTATTTTTTAAAGTTCCTAAATTCATGCGTTTTTGAAAGAGTGTATAGTTACAGGGTAGCATGTGATATTATGAAGAAGTGAAGAATAGTGAACTGAGAGTATAGCGCAATCTAAAATGTGCTTTTGTTGCTTGATGTTTACCTTGTGAATAGTCTGCATTTTTGTTTGAATGTTATTTGATTCTGTAGTTTGGAATATTTTTCTAATTCTTTGAGGATCTGTAGATTATTTGAGCTATAGTCATGTTCCCAGTCTGTAGGCACAATCCAAGTTCTTGTTAAATTGTAATAATTAAAAGTATTGACACAGAGAGGCATTTTTGATATTGATCTTGAAAGCAGTATCTCAAGCCCAGAGATACTAGTGGTGAGTTGAAACCTAGTTTTATTTTCTATTTTATGCTTAATTAGGAAAGAGGAAAAGGGAAGTACCTCCTTTAAGTGATAAGAGTCCACTGTAAGTAATTCGAAATAAAAAACTAAGTTTGTCACAGCTGTATAGTCTGAAAAGGAGGAAGTACAGTTTAAAAAAAGATTTGTTGTTGTGTTATTCAGACCACAAGTAGCTTAGGAAAAGAAATGATCTGATAAGAAGAATACTTTTTTGTTGCTTTCCTCATAAAATATTTCCAATAAATAGAGATGCTCATTTTAGGAGGAACCTATGATTATTACCATGTAGCAGTTTCATACATTTCATGGCTCATTTCTAAATGATCAGGAAAATGAGTTATTGAGGTTTTAGCCCTTTGCACAAAATTACATGTGTTGCGAAACACATGTAATGCTGTGGGCTGGGGAGAATGGTAAAAGCAACTTTTTAAATGTGTCATCTTGCAGCACAGTTCCACATGTGGTGTACTATTTGGATTAATATCCCAACTAGATCATTTTGAAGATGAAAATCGGTTTGGAGTTGCAGGGTTGCAACCAGGGGGATAATAAAGTAAGTTGAGTGAGGAGATTGGGATCAGGGGCTGTTGACCAGAGGTAGATAAGCTGAGAATTAGGCTCTAATAATAGCCTGGATTTAAAGAGTGCCATGAGTTTACAGTGTAAATTAGTAAGTCTTAAGTGCTGGTTTCCAGGGGTAGGTTTAGAGTCTGATAACCAGGATATGAGAACAGAGGCAAAAAAGTCTGTATCTATGGGCCAGGAGCAAGGCCAACGATCTGGGAAGTTTGAAGACAAGGCAAAATGAAAACATCAGTTAGTAGGAATAAGCCAAAGGTTTGGCAACTAGGAGGATAAAGCAGATAGGGAGATGGGCAACTGGTTTTGGATTGTCAAGGCTCATAAGGCCAAATAAGAGCAAGGTAAAGGTAGGAATAATTAAGGGGTAGTGATAATGCTATACTCCCTTTCTTTTATTTATTTATTTATTTATTTTTGAAAATTTTATTTATTTATTTATTTTTTTGTTACAGATATTTTACCTTTTTACCCCATTGGCACCCCCCACCCCACCCCACCTCCACCCTGTCCCCGGCTTAGTTGTCCATGTCCATTGGTCATGCATACATGCATATAAGTTCTGTGGTTTATCTCTTCCCACCCCCCCACCCCCCATCCCCTCTTCTGAGGGATGTCAGTCTGTGCCCCACTTCCATGTGTCTGGGTCTACTGTATTCCTCAGACTGTTATGTTCATTATATTCCGTATATAAGTGAGATCATGTGGTATTTGTCCTTCTCTGCTTGGCTTCTTTCACTTAGGATAATACTTTCCAGGTCCCTCCATGTCGTCGCAAAGGATAAGAGATCTTTCTTTCTTACTGCTGCATAGTATTCCATTGTGTATATGTACCACAGCTTTTTGATCCATTCGTCTACTGGTGGACACTTGGGCTGTTTCCAGATCTTAGCTATTGTAAATAGTGCTGCTATGAACATGGGGGTACATATATTCTTCCTGATTGGTGTTTCAGGCTTCCTAGGGTATATTCCCAGCAGTGGGATCACTGGGTCAAATGGAAGTTAAATTTTTAATTTTTTGAGGTAGCACCATATTGTTTTCCATAGCGGCTGCACCAGTCTGCATTCCTACCAGCAGTGTATTAGAGTCCCCTTTTCTCCACACCCTCGCCAACACTTGTTGTTTGATGATTTGTTGATGGCGGCCATTCTGACAGGTGTGAGGTGATACCTCATTGTTGTTTTAATTTGCATCTCTCTGATGATTAGTGATGTTGAGCATTTCTTCATATGTCTCTTGGCCATTTGTATGTCCTGTTTGGAGAGGTGTCTATTCAGCTCCTCTGCCCATTTTTTAATTGGGTTCTTTGTCTTCCTTTTGTGGAGTTGTATGAGCACTCTGTATATATTGGAAATTAACCCCTTATCTGATACATCATTGGCAATGATGTTCTCCCATACAGTGGGTTGCCTTTCCATTTTGATGATTGTTTCTTTTGCTGTGCAGAAGCTTTATAGTTTGATGTAGTCCCATGTGTTCATTTTCTCCTTTATTTCTGTTGCTTTAGGTGATGTATCAGTGAAAATTCTGCTCCGTATGATGTCCGAAATTTTGTTGCCTACATTTTCTTCTAGAATTTTTATGGATTCACGGGTCACATTTAAGTCTTTTATCCATTTTGAGTTTATTTTTGTGTATGGTGTAAGTTGATGGTCTAGTTTCATTTTTTTGCATGTAGCTGTCCAATTTTCCCAACACCATTTATTAAAGAGGCTGTCTTGACTCCACTGTATGCTCTTGCCACCTTTGTCAAATATTAATTGAGCGTATTGCCTTGGGTCCATTTCTGGGTTTTCAGTTCTGTTCCACTGGTCTATATGCCTGTTCTTGTGCCAGTACCAGGCTGTTTTGGTTACAGTCGCTTTGTAGTATAACCTGATATCTGGTATTGTGATCCCTCCAACTTTGTTCTTCTTTTTCAAGATTGCTGTGGCTATTCGGGGTCTTTTTTGGTTCCATATGAACTTTTGAAGTATTTGTTCTAGTTCTATAAAATATGTCGTTGGTATTTTGATGGGGATTGCATTGAATCTATAGATTGCTTTGGGTAGTATGGACATTTTAATTATGTTAATTCTTCCAATCCATGAACAGGGTATGTGCTTCCACTTTTTTATATCTTCCTCTATTTCTTTTTTCAATGACCTGTAGTTTTCTGCAAATAGGTCCTTTACTTCTTTGGTTAAGTTTATTCCTAGGTATCGTAATTTTTTTGGAGCGATGGTAAATGGGATTGTTTTTTCAGTTTCTCTTTCTGTGAGTTCATCATTGATGTACAAGAATGCCGTCGATTTCTTGACATTAATTTTGTATCCTGCTACTTTGCCAAATTCATTTATTAAGTCTAATAGATTTTTGATGGAGTCTTTAGGGTTTTCTATGTACAATATCATGTCATCTGCAAATAATGACAGTTTCACTTCCTCCTTTCCAATTTGGATCCCTTTTATTTTTTCTTCACGTCTGATTGCTGTGGCTAAGACTTCCAGTACAATGTTAAATAAGAGTGGCGAAAGTGGACATCCCTGTCTTGTTCCTGTTCTTAATGGAAATGTTTTTAGTTTCTGTCCATTGAGTATGATGTTGGCTGTAGGTCTTTCATATATGGCCTTTATTATGTTGAGATATGATCCCTCTATTCCTACATTGCTGAGCGTTTTTATCAGAAATGGATGCTGGATTTTGTCGAATGCTTTTTCAGCATCTATTGATATGATCATGTGGTTTTTATTCTTCATTTTGTTTATGTGGTGTATCACGTTTATTGATTTGCGAATATTGTACCAGCCTTGCATCCCTGGAATGAATCCCACTTGGTCGTGGTGAATAATTTTTTTGATGTATTTCTGGATCCGATTTGCTAGTATTTTGTTCAGGATTTTGGCGTCTATGTTCATCAGGGATATTGGCCTGTAGTTTTCTTTCTTCGTAGTGTCTTTTTCTGGTTTTGGGATTAGAATTATGCTGGCCTCATAGAATGTGGTTGGAAGTCTTCCTTCTTCTTGAATTTTTTGAAATAGTTTGAGGAGAATGGGTGTTAGTTCTTTTTTGAATGTTCGGTAAAACTCCCCTGTGAAACCATCTGGGCCTGGGCTTTTGTTTGCTGGGAGAGTCTTGATTACCTCTTCAATTTCCTTAGTTGTTATTGGTCTGTTCAAGTTTTCTATCTCTTCCGGGAATAGTTTTGGGAGACTGTGTGTTTCTAGAAATTTGTCCATTTCGCTGAGATTGTCGTATTTGTTGCCATATAGTTGTTCATAGTAGTTGTTAACGATCTTTTGTATTTCCGTGGTGTTGGTTGTTACTTCTCCTCTTTCATTTCTGATTTTGTGTATTTGGGTTCTCTTTGTTTCTTGGTGAGTCTAGCTAAGGGTCCATCTATCTTGTTTATCTTTTCGAAAAACCAGCTCTTTGTTTCATTGATCCTTTGAATTGTTTTTTTGGTCTCTATGTCATTTATTTCTGCTCTGATCTTTACTATTTCCTTCCTTCTACTTGCTCTGGGGTTTTCTTTTTGTTTGCTTTCTAATTCTTTAAGCTGTGAGGTTAGACAGTCAATTAGAAATTTTTCTTGTTTTTTGAGGTAGGCCTGTAGTGCTATGAACTTCCCTCTCAGAACTGCTTTCGCTGCATCCCATAGATTTTGTGTTGTTGTGTGTTCATTTTCATTGGTTTCCAGGAAGTTTTTAATTTCTTCCTTGATCTCCTCGGTGACCCATTCATTGTTTAATAACATGCTATTTAGCCTCCATGTGTTGAAATGTCTTTGCATGTTCTTGTTGCAATTGATTTCTAGTTTCATGCCATTGTGATCTGAGAAGATGCTTGATATGATTTCAATCTTCTTGAACTTGTAGAGATTTAGTTTGTGTCCTATCATGTGGTCTATCTTTGAGAATGTTCCATGTGCACTTGAGAAGAATGTGTATTCTGTAGTTTTGGGGTGTAATTCTCTGTAGATATCTATTAAATCCATTTGGTCTAGTGCTTCATTTAGAGTCTCTGTTTCCTTGCTAATTTTTTGCCTAGAGGATCTATCCAGTGCTGTCAACGGGGTGTTGAAGTCCCCTGCTATGATTGTGTTGTTGTTGATTTCTCCTTGGAAGTCCTCCAGAAGATTTTTAATATATTTTGGTGCTCCTATATTGGGTGCATATATGTTTATCAAGGTTATATCTTCCTGTTGGATAGATCCTTTCAATATTATGTAGTGGCCGTCTTTGTCTCTAGTTATGGTCTTCATTTTGAAATCTATTTTATCAGATATGAGAATTGCTACCCCAGCTTTTTTTTGCTTTCCATTTGCTTGGAAAATTTTTTTCCATCCCTTCACTTTCAACCGATGTGAGTCTTTTGTTGAGAGGTGGGTCTCTTGTAAACAACATATAGATGAGTCATGCTTTCTTATCCAATCAGCTACTCTGTGTCTCTTTATGGGAGCATTCAATCCATTTACGTTTAAGGTGATTATTGATATGTACTTATTTATTGCCATTTTTGTTTAGTGTGGTTCTATTTTTCTTCCCATTTATACTGCTAATTACAGCAGTCCTTTTAACATTTCTTGCAGTGCTGGTTTGGTGGTAATGTATTCCCTTAGCTTTTTTTTGTCTGGGAAGCTCTTTATTTGATCTTCTATTTTGAATGATAGCCTTGCTGGGTAGAGTAGTCTTGGATTCAGATTCTTGTTTTTCATGACTTTGATTACTTCATGCCATTCTCTTCTGGCCTGTAGTGTTTCTTGTGAGAAGTCAGCTGAGAGCCTTATGGGGTTCCCTTTGTAGGTAACCTGTTGCTTATCTCTTGCTGCTTTTAGGATTCTTTCTTTGTCTTTAATTTGTGGCATTTTAATTACTATGTGTCTTGGTGTGGGCCTGTTTGGGTTCTTCTTACTTGGGACTCTCTGTGCTTCTTGAACTTGAATGCCTTCTTCCTTCACCAAATTAGGGAAGTTTTCTGTCACTATTTTTTTGAATATATTCTCTATCCCTTGCTCCTTTTCTTCTTCTTCGGGGACTTCTATGATGCGAATATTATTACGTTTCCAGTTGGCCCATAGTTCTCTTAAGCTGTCTTCCTGTTTTTTAATAGTTTTTTCCTTTTGTTTTTCTGATTGGTTGATTTTTTCTACCCTGTCTTCTAATTCACTGATCCGGTCCTCAGCTTCCCCTACTCTGCTTTTTAAACCTTCCAATGTGTTTTTCATTTCGGATATGTCATTTTTATCTCTTCTTGTTGGTTTTTAATTTCCATTTGGCTTATTTTCAGTGTCTCTATGTCCTTACTCATGCTGTTCAGCTTCCTCAAGATCATGGCTCTGAATTCTAGCTCTGTTAACATGCCTAATTGCTCCACATTGATCTCATCTTCGGTGGAGGTGGCTTGCTCTTTCATTTGGCTTCTGTTTCTGTGTTTCACCATTTTAGCTATCACTGTGGGCTTTGGAGCCTGTCAAGTTCTCCCTGTGGGTGTTGGTGTTCTGCTGTTTGTGTCTCCCTCTCCTGTGTTTAGATGAGCGAGGGAGGACCCGCGTTGAACACCACTGTCAAGTCTTACTTTCCTGGTTAAAGTTGCCAGCCCAGGAAAGGTACTGTTATCCTCTAGCTTTTTGCCTGGAGGCTAGCAGTCTAGGTTACTTGATGAGTTTTGGGTTGTCAGTTGATTGAAAAACTCCCTCTGGTGCTCAGCCAAGGGGCTTTCAGGAGGGTGGGGCAGATGCTGGTTGTTAGTGAGCCTCAATTAGCACTTCAATGGCCCACAGGGTGGGGTTGGATCTCCGAGGGAGGGGCTGCTGCCTCTCCCCAGAGCCCTGGGAAGGAGCAATGTGGCCACCGTCCTGAGTGGCTGCACTCAGCCAAAGCTCTGAGCGCCCTCCAAACCCCGAGTGTCCCGACACAGTTCCAGTCCAGTCCGCCCTCCCTCCGCCGGAGCCCAAGGTGAGTGGCTGTGGCTGTTTCAGCCTCTGTCCCGGCTGCGCTGCGGGGCCGCCTGGGAGTGTAAACCGCGGGCGCCGCTTACAGCTAAGGCCCCTGCCGAGCTGCCGACCGTGGGCTCCCAGCCCCGTCTCGCGCCTTCGCAAGCCTACCGGGATCGAGTCAGTGTCCCTCGTTGTATGGTCCTCGCAAGCTGCTTTTCTGTTGCTTTTTCCTGTCGATTTGTCTGTGTTATAGTTGTAATTCCAGTTTGGTTCTAGGAGACGGTCTGTGAAGCTCCGTTCACTCCGCCGCCATTTTTCGGTCCTCCTCCCTTTCTTTATGTTAAGAATGTATGGAGCCCAGACCCCCAGATAATTAGAAGTAATGAGCTAGACAGTGGGAATACACTGGCAGAATTGTTACCGCATCACAGGAAAGCTGGAGCTACAGGTATCTTATAGAAATAACCATGATGGCCATGGCCAGTTTGTCTCAGTGGTAGAGTTTCGGCCCGCGGGCCAATGAGTCCCGGGTTCGATTCCAGCCAAAGGCACGTACCTCGGTTGCAGTTCATCCTCAGCCCTGGTCGGGGTCATGTGGGAGGCAACCAGTCAATGTGTCCTCATGTCGATGTTTCATTCTCTCTCTTTCTCTCTACCTGAAGATAAATAGAAAAATATCCTCGGGTGAGGATTAAAGGAAGGAAGGAAGGCGGCGGGGAAAGGAGAGGAGGGGAGGAAGAAATGATCATGATGTTTATAGGATTATAATATGGTCTTTCAGCTATTTAATCCATGCATTTGATAATATTATATATATTGTTTTATGCAGCATTCCAAAAGGTTGGGGCTACTTGACCATTCTGGCACCCCAAAACCTCTTGTGTATGAGAAGCAACTTTCTGTTTGGTTCAAGATGTTGGATGATTCGATTTTCAGCAGAAATCTTCAAATCAGTTTCATATCGGCTTTCTGGTGTGAAGTATGATAATGAAGAAAATAAGCCTTCGGAGAATGAATTAGTGAATAACTTACTTACTATGGGAGTAGATGTTAAAATGGCGAAGAAACGACAGCCCGGAGTTTTTAATAAGACTGGTATTAATGAGCAGGACTTGAAGGTGTTCCTTCTGTCCAAAGGAGCTAGCAAAGAAGTGATTGCTAGCGTCATATCAAGATATCCACGAGCCATAACACGCACAACTGAAAATCTTTCAAAACGGTGGGATCTGTTGAGAACAATTATGACATCAGACCTTGAAATTGTAAATATTTTGGAACGTTCTCCTGAATCTTTTTTTCGGTCCACTAACAACGTAAACCTAGAGAATAATATAAAGTTTCTGTACTCAGTTGGATTGACCCGTAAATGCCTTTGTCGATTGTTGACCAATGCTCCACGTACCTTTTCCAATAGTCTTGATTTGAATAAGCAGATGGTTGAATTTTTGCAAGAAGTCTGCTTGTCCTTAGGTCACAGTGATCCCATAGATTTCGTCAGGAAAATAATTTTTAAAAACCCTTTCATCTTAATTCAGAGCACCAAACGGATAAAAGCTAACATTAAGTTTCTTCAGTCAACTTTCAACCTGAACAACGAGGAGCTACTTGTTTTGATATGTGGTCCAGGAGCTGAAATCCTAGACCTTTCCAATGACTGTGCCAAAAGAAATTACACAAATATCAAAGAGAAGCTGTTTTCTCTTGGGTGTACTGAACAAGAGGTACAGAAGTTTGTCTTGAGCTATCCAGATGTGATCTTCTTGGGAGAGAAAAAGTTTAATGATAAAATAGACTGCCTCATAGAAGAAAATATTAGCATTTCACACATAATTGAAAATCCTCGGGTTTTGGATTCAAGCATAAGTACTTTAAGAAGTCGAATCAAAGAATTGGTAAATGCTGGCTATAACTTGAGTACATCAAACATCACCCTTCTATCTTGGAGTCAAAAAAGATATAAAGCTAAATTGAAAAAGTTAAACATTGGATAGAGCATTGTTCTGGGGGATTAAAATAAGTCATAATATCTTCATTTTGAATTTGGGCTTTTCAAAAAGGAGAGGTTTGATTTCTTAACCACATATACATATATAGTGATCCTTTGGATATTTTATTTTAAAGGTTCCTAAAAACTCATGGTCAGTATACTCAAGTATAGTCTTCTCAGCTACCTTTTCCCTAGTTTGAATTAATACAATATTCTATTATATGATATAGGCTGTGTAAATGGTACTTCCTGAGTGCCAAGGCAGAACAATGTATAGGAAGATAGAAAATACAAAATAAGCTTTTTTTTTTGGTTTTTGTTCAAATTTAAAAATTGACAGATTCATTTAGATAGTTCTATTTTCTCTCATGGGTTTGAATGGCAACCGATTTCTCCTGTTCCCCACATGTCTAATTATGATTCACCTTCAAAATAGAATGCCAGTAAAATTTTACAAAATAGGAAGGAGGGATTTTTTTTACCCCAAGTTCTACATTCTTAAACCATTACTGTGTGTCCCCCCAGTCCCTTTAGGCTCAATTTACTATGGGTATAGTCCTGATTTCTTTGAAGACAAGGGCAACTGTGGTAGGCAGAATAATTGCCACCTAAAGATGTCAATGCCATAATTCCCAGAGCCTGTAAATGTGTTAAATTGCAAAAGGACTCTGCAGATGGGATTAAATTGAAGACCTTGAGATGGGGAGATTACCTGGATTATTTTGGTGGGCCCAGTGTTTAATCATAAGAACCCTTAAAAGTAGAAGAGGGAGGTGATGATAAAAGCACTTGACCCGCTTTTACTGGCTTTGAAGAAGTAAGGGGCCATAAGCCAAGGAATGCAGGTAACCTCTAAAATGTGAAAGGCAAGGAAACATTCTCTCCTAGTGCCCCCAGAAGGGAATGCAGCCCTGCCAAGACCTTGAATTAAACCCAGTGAGACCTTTTTCAAACTTCTGACCCACAGAGCCATAAGGTAATAAACTTATGTTGTTTTAAGCCTCTGAGTTTGTGACAATTTGTTACAGCAGCAAATAGAATAATATAGCAATTGAATGGATGATTAGTTGCATTATAGGTGAAGCCACAAAATGTGGTCCTTTTATTTTCATATCTGCATTTCTTCCTTGTATAATTGCCTTTTTTATCCAACTGCTTTTCTGGAATGGCTAATCAGTTAGTGTTTGTAAAGTCCTTTAAATGTATGGATAAAAACTAAATGTGAGCAATAAAATCTAAATAAAGGAATATTTTTGCTTAACAAATGTAGTTTAACAAACTGGTGATAATTTGTTTAATTTTGCTGTCATTTCATCTAATATGAATAAAGAACAAGGAATTTCTAGAAGCATTAACTTAAAAAAGTCAACTCAGATGATGTCTGTATCTTGAAGACATTTACAATCTATCTCTGATATAAACTGAAAGAGAAGGGACAAATTACATTACCTTAATTTTGTTTTCCAGATGTGGATTTTGAATTGCATAACAATGGTGTTCAACCTTTTAAGCCTTATTTCCTATCAATGATGCCTCAAAAAAACTTATTCCCACCACTAATAGAAACAAAATACCTGCTCTTTCAAGGCCATTTGTATGCCAATGGTATGCTTATTACAATTATTTTCAGTACACTATTTGATGGCACGCATGGCAGGCATAGTTTAGAAAGTGTGGACTTTAGAGGGATTTTTTTTAGAGTGATATATCTAGGCACTGTTCCGGAATAGCTCTGTAACTTTGTGTAAATATTTTAAGTTCACTGAACTTATTTTCTCATCTCTAAAGATACGAGATAGACCTTGCAGAGTTGATAAGAATCAGATGATACAAGGTCTCTAAGGTTTTTTGCACATAGTAACTATTCAATGGTAGCTGTAACAAATAGTTATAGTAGTATTTAGAACAGATTAAACAGCTTTATTGATATATAATTCACATACCTTATAATTCACCAATTTAAAATACTCAATTAAAAACATTTTTTTTCTTTATTGATTTTTAGAGAGAGAGGAAGAGAGAGGGAAAAGGAGAAAGAAACATCAGTAAGAGAGAACATCGATTGGCTGCCTCCTGCACACACCACACTGGGGATTTGGCCCACAACCTGGGCGTGTGCCCTGACTGGGAATCAAACGGCGACCTCTTGGTGCATGGGTCGACTCTCAACCGCTGAGCCACACTGGCTGGACTAAAGCATTCAATTTTTATATTAAAGGGCTGTGTAATCATCACCACAGTCTAATTTTAGAATAGTGTTGTGCCTCCTAAAAAAAAACCTGTATCCATTAACAGTCAATCCCCCTTCTGTTTCCCCTACCCTAAGCAACCACTGATCTACTTTCTCTCAATAAATTTGCCTATTCTGGACATTTCATATAAATGGAATAATACAGTCTGTGGTCTTTGTGACTGGCTTCTTTCACTTAGCATAATGGTATTCTATTTTTATTGCTAAATAATTCATTGTATGGATCCAGTTGTATTATTGAGAGTATATTTTATTGTTAAGATTTAAACATAAGTTAACAGCATTAATTCCTTAAAATATTAGTTCCTCAGTCGACTGAATTGTATAGAAGTATTTTCTGAGGTATTGCTTCAGAATCTAACACGTTTATAAGGAACTTGAGAGAGGTTGGCAGAGGAGATAAAAATGTGTTGGCATCAACTGGTCATGAAGATTATGCCTGGGTTGACAAGATACATAACAGCAGCAGTTGCCAGTGACCGAGGAGAATGTGGGATGCGAGGAAGTGCAATACAGCCCTTGTTTGGGGGGTTTGGAGGAGTGACAACTTTTTAAAATGTTTCTTATTGACAGTATTACAGATGTCCTCCATTTCCCTGTCCATTGCCCCCCTTCACCCAGCCCTCACCCCACCCCAGGCCTTCATCACACTATTGTCTGTGTCCATGGACTATACAAATACACATATAAGTTCTTTGGTTTATCTCTTCCCATCCTTCCCCTCTGAGATCTGTCAGTCTGTTCCATGCATCCATGCCTCTGGACCTATTTTGTTCAATTTATTTTGTTTATTAGATTCCACATATAAGTCAGATCATGTGGTATTTGTCTTTCTCTAACTATCTTACTTCGCTTAGTATAATAATCTGCAGGACCATTTATGCTATTGCCAAGAATAAGAGCTCCTTTTTTGCAGCTGCATAGCTTTCCATTCTGTAAATATATCCACTCTTCTGATGGGCACTTGGGCTGTTTCCAGATCTTAGCTATCGTAAATAATGCTGCTGTGAACGTAGGAATGCATATATTCTTTCTGATTGGTGTTTTGGGATTCGTAGGCTATATTTCCAGAAGTGGGATCACTAGGTCAAACAGCAGTTCCATTTTTTATTTTTGAGGAAACTCCATACTGTTTTCCATAGTGGCTGCACCAGTCTGCATTCCCAGCAGTGTACTAGGGTTCCCTTTTCTCCACATCCTCACCAGCACTTGTTTTTTGTTGACTTACTGATGGTAGCCGTTCTGGCAGGTGTGAGGTGATACCTCATTGTGGTTTTAATTTGAATCTTTTTTTTTTTTTAATCCTCACCCGAGGACAGTTTTTGATATTTTGTTCAGATAGAGTGGGAGGGAGAGAGAGAGAAAGAGAGAGAAACATTGACATGAAAGGGACACATCGAGTGGTTGCCACCTACACAACCCAACCAGGGCCAGGGACAAACTGCAATCGAGGTACGTTCCCTTAGCAGGAACAGAACCTGGGTCTCTCTAGACCGCAGGCTGATGCTCTAACCGCTGAACCAAACGGGCCAGGGCTAATTTGAATCTTTCTGATGATCAGTGATGTTGATCGTGTTTTCATATGTGTATTGACGATCTGTATATCCTCTTTGAAGAGGTGTTATTCAGGTCCTTTGCCCATTTTTTGTTTGCTTGTTTGTTAATCCTCACCTGAGGAGATTTTTCCATTGATTTTTAGATATAGTGGGAGGGGGAGATAGATAGATGAGAGAGAGAGAGAGAGAGAGAGAGAGAGAGAGAGAGAGAGAGAGAGAGAGATTGGTTGCCTCCTGCATGACCCTGACTGTGGCTGGGGATTGAACCTGCAATCCAGGTGTGTGCCCTTGACTGGGAATTGAACCTGTGATCCTTTGTTCTGAGGGCTGATGCTCTAACTACTAAGCCAAACTGGCCAGGGCCCATTTTCTAATTGGCTTGTCAGTCTTCTTTTAGTTGAGTTGTATGAGTTCTTTATATATTTTGGAAATTAACCCCTCATCAGATGTATCATTGGTGAATATATTCTCCCATACACTGGGTCCCTTTTCATTTTTTGCAATTTTTATTAATTTATTTTTGTTACAGATGTTTATCCTTTTTCCCCACTAGACTCCCTCCTCCTCTCCCTCCCCCCAGCATTATTGTCTGTGTCCATTGGTTACGCATACATGCATGTAAGTTCTTTGGTTTATCTCATCCATCCTCCTGCCTCCCTTTTCATTTTGTTGATGGTTTCTTTTGCTGTGCAGAAGCTTTTTCGTTTGATGTCAGTTTTATTAATTTTTTCCTTTATTTTTCTTGCAGTAGGAGATGTATTAGTGAAAATTCTGTTACGTGAGAAGTCTGAGATTTTACTGCCTATGTTCTAGGATTTTTATGGTTTCACGACTCACATTTAAGTCTTTTATCCATTTTGAGTTTATTCTTGTGTATGGTATAAGTTGGAGGTCTACTTTCATTTTTTTTTTTTTTCTTTTTTGCATGTACCTGTTCAATTTTCCCAGCACCATTTATTGAAGAGACTGTCTTTACTCCATTGTATGCTCTTACCTGCTTTGTCAAATATTAATTGACTATAATGGCATGGGTCAATTTCTAGGGTCTCTGCTCAGTTACATTGATCTATATATCTGCTCTTATGTCAGTAGTAGGCCCCCCCTTTTTTTAATCCTCACCCAAGGACATTTTTCCATTTCTTTGTTCAGATAGAGTGGGAGGGAGAGAGAGTAAGAGAGAGAGAGAAAGAAACATCGACATGAAAGGGACACAGCGAGTGGCTGCCACCCACACCACCCAACCAGGGCCGGGAACAAATTGCAACCAAGGTACATGCCCTTAGCGGGAACCAAACCTGGGTCTCTACGGACCGCAGGCCGATGCTCTAACCGCTGAGCCAAACTGGCCGGGGCGGTATCTTAATTCTTTTTGTTGCAATGGTAAAAGGAATTGTTTTTTTAGTTTCTCTTTCTGAGATTTCATTATTGGTATATAAAAATGCCACTAATACCCTGGGCAGTTTTCTCAGTGGTTAGCGTGTCGGCCTGTGGACCAAAGTGTTGTGGGTTTGATTCCAGTCAAGGGCATGTACCTCGGTTGCAGTTCACACCTAGCCCTGGTCAGGGTTGCGAGGGAGGCAGCCAGTCAATCTGTCTCTTTCTCATTGATGTTTCTCTCTCTCTCTCTCCCTCCCTCCCATTTTGTCTGAAAATAAATGGAAAAATATCCTTGTGTGAGGATTAAAAAAAATGCCATTGATTTCTAGATGTTAATTTTGTATCCTGCTACTTTGCTGAATTTACTTATTAAATCTAGTGTTTTTGGTGGAGTCTTTAGGGTTTTCTATGTACAATATCATGTTATCTGCGAATAATGACAGTTTTACTTCCTCCTTTCCAATTTGGATGCCTTTTATTTTTTCTTCTTGTCTGATTGCTGTGGCTAGGACTTCCAGTACTATGTTGAATAAGAGTGGTGAAAGCAGACATCTGTGTCTTGTTCCTGATCTTAAGAGAAACCCTTTTAGTTTTTGCTCATTGAATATGATGTGGGCTGTAGGTTTGTCACATATGGCCTTTATTATGATGAGGGGGGAAGGGCAACATTGTAGAAACAAATGGATAATGCCTGTCAGGCAATATTAACATGTCATTACATATTTTATATATATATATATATATATATATATATATATATATATATATACACACACACACACACACACACACACATATATTTTTTTCATTGATTTCAGAGACAGGGAGAGAGAGAGAGAAATATTGATGAGAGAGAAACATTGATTGGCTGCCTCTGCACACCCCCTACTAGGAATCAAGCCCCTAACTTGGGTATGTGCCCTGGTCAGGAATTGAACCTGTGACCTACTGGTGGTGGGATGACACTCAACCAACTGAGCTACACTGGCTGAGCAACATGTCATATTTTAAGGTTTGAGTCTGATTGAGGGAGAGTCAATTCTTCAGAAATAT